TTTTAAGTACTCAATAAATAGTGACTAGGTAGCTATAATTGTTTCTTAAAACAATCCTACCTATAGCAGTCACCTGACCCATCACCATTTATACAAACTTTTTTGGTTTGGGTGAAGTTCCAAAATTATATTCGACTTTGGAATTGTTTGACACTATATCATAATTTATAACAGATAAATATCAGGTATTTAATAAAGTTTGTTGGTTGATTTTGAATAATTCAAGAATTCTTGAATTAGTACTTCAAGAATAATTCAAGAGTTAACTTTGAGTTAAGTCAGAGTTTCATGACGGCTTCAGAAGAGAAGCAGAAAGTGTGTTTCAAGTACATCTCTAACCTTAGAGAATAAAGTTAGAAAAATCTCTGTAACTTACTTCTTAAAGAAAGCATTCTTTTCTAGTTCCAGAATGCTGTTTATATTTGTTTATGCACAAAAACGGTGTGGTTGATAGAGTAAAAGTAACCATAGATATAATTTGTTTACATAAGTAAACAACATGTAAATAATCGAGGTGGTTATAACAACTTTTATAGGATAAATAACTTTCTTTTATTCAAATCCAAAGAAACCTGAGCCTTGCTCCTTGTCTCCCACCCTAAAAGAATCATGTCAGAAATTTACTCAGTAAAATTAAGATTATGTAGTAAATTATATGTTACTTTTATACTCCTGATCTATTGCAAAGAATAGTTCCTGGAAATAATGTACATAGATTTCTTTGGTCATGGAGCAAATTTTGTTGCAGTAGAATTAGCTTGTAATGGCAGATGTCAAGAGTATAAGCAGACCTTTGATCATTTTAGTATCTTCTACACTTTTATTCTATGTTTAAGAATGCCCTACATTTCCTAAGAGATATAGAGAGTTAATTCAAGGAGCTCTAAAAACAGTGAAAGGACTAAGATTTTCACAGAGCCTTTTGACTGCAAAACATAACCTTTATCAGGTTATTGAAGCATTTGTAAAAATGAGTTTCCCTAGTCAGTCCAGTCTGCATTGTTTCTTGGCTGGATGAACCCTAGAGTTACTTGATTTTTTAAAAAGCTGCTTGGTGCAAATATTTAATTAAAGCAGAAAATCAAAAGTTGAAACCCTATTGAAACTCATTTGAATGAGAATGTACTTAGTAAATTAAACATTATTTTAAAACATGCCCTATCATATTTGCCAGCTATAATTCCATTATCTTTTAAAATTGTATTGCATTTAAAAAGTATACAATGCATTCAGGTCATGTTTATGCAGTTAAACTTACACTTAAAAACATTTAGATGAAAAACTAACATGTTCGAGACATTTGCATAATAAATGGTATAGAGTTTTAGCTGTCTCCTGTTACATTTTTTAAGACATTCAATAACTATAGCCTAGTAATATCTTATCTAAAATTGGGATTAAAATCAATAAAGCATTTAAGGTTTTAGTATTGGTTCTTTTCTAGGTTGTCAGATATCTTAAAAGAATTTTTCAGTAAGTGATCTTAGTTGTTTAGATAAGCACCCACAACTATTCCATAGATGAGGGTTTTATTATTTTTAAATGAAAAATGCTAACATAAGTATTTATTTGTTTCTTTGTTATATATATGGTCCTTAAAGTAAAATAAAGAAATAACTTATTTTTAAATCAGAAACTGAACTATGGAAATTGTAATGATTTTCCTTGGAAATAAAATGCCAGAAGAACTGAATGAGCATTTAAGTGCTTTTAAATGTTCAGCACTGCTATAGGGACAAGAGAAGGAAAGAGTTCTGTATTTGAGATTCAGAAGGCTGGATTTGAGGTCCAACTCTGCTAACCACTAGCTTGATGATCCTGAACAATACACTTTACCTGCTGGAGATTTATCTCCCTTTGAAATGGGGGGATGAGGATGTCTTCCTACCAACCAGGACTGGTTTTAGGAGGCTTACTTGAGACAGTGGATGTAAAAATGCTCTGTGCATTACGAAGCTGTGTAAACAAAAAATTATCATTTATTTTGAGAAATTGAGCAATACAGATAGAACTGTAAGCATTTAGGAGGTTAGGATTTAAATTTAAGTGATGAGGCAAAAAAAAAAACTGGATAAAGTCAAAATTACTCTTAAAAGTTTCTAAATTAATGTAAAACATAGTTGTACTGTTTTGTCTATGCAACCCTGAATAGTAATCTGTAAAGTATAGAATGTGTATAGTATATACTGCATACATAAAGAGAACATGGCTAAATAATTTTATAATACTTTTTTTTTTTAGCTGAGCATAACATGGATAAATACTTATAAGTTAAATATGCATTAGAATAAATAACTTTCTGTATCATAGTGACTAGGAGTAAGACAACCTTTGAAAAAATACACCCCTAATGTAATAGAACCATAGACCCAAGCATCTGGAAAAACAGCTAACAGGAGTTAACTCAAAGTGAGTATAGTTCATAATTAGCTAAATGGTGGCAGCCATTTTTTGTTTGGCCTGAAAACGGTTTAACTTTTTAAAATTTGAGTTCTTTCTAGGTTGAGCATTCATTCTCTTGGTGCTCACCCTTGCCTATTGCTTTATACTCTGGTGTCTTTCACATTTACATGCCTTGGATCCTTAAAAACATTGAATCTTTGGTTCCTGATTTATCCAAAGGAAGACCTAGCCAAGGAAATTAATCTTAAACCTGAATGTCAAATAAGCAATTAGCATGGATTGGCAAGATGTGTTTGGGAAGGTATGCCAAGTTGAAGGAACAGAAAGGAGGTAGAAATAGAGAGGAGAATGTTTCTAAAACAAAGATTGACATGGTTGAACCACAGTTAGGAGGAAGTGGAAGATGAAATTGGTTGGTCCTGTAGATGGAGTGCCTGTTTTCTATGTGAAGGAGTTTGCTTTACTTTGATGGAACTCACTGTAGGCTATGTAATATGAGTGTTGTGTGATAGAGCTTCTGCTAGCTATTTGAATGATGAACCGAGCCATATTTGGAAGGAGTTGAAGGAAAGGATTGGCCTTTAGGTGCTTACTGATAGGGGCCTGAAATAGGCCAAGAGCTTTCAAAGTAGAGAGTAAGAGCTTAATTTGAAAGAGACTGGGGCTGACTGGCCAGAGATGGTGATTGGGAGCCTTGGAGCCACCTTTGCTTCGTTTTTCTTTGATGCCTGATATTCAGGCTTTCAGCACATTTTATTATTCTTCCTCGAATGTTTGCTTGTTCCACCAATTCCCGTTTGCTCCAAATGAAGTCACACTAATATTTAGGCCTTTATCACCAGAATATTTCTAAATAAAGCATCCCCTAGAGCTGATCTCTAATCCTTTTCCCTAGCCTCAATCCATGCCTCTCCATCTTTCTTACACTTGACTGAAAGAGCTGCTTTCTCAGAAATACTTCTTTGAGCAATTCACTTTTTTATTACAAAAATTAGAAGAGACTCCAGTTTATCAAGGTCAAAGGCAAGAGTTAAAGGCCCTCCCTGAGGGCTTCCCCTGGGCTTGTACTAGCATGTCCCCATTACTGCAGAAAGAGATTTAGCTATGGAAGATAGGTTTGGGTGGGGTTTTCTATCTCTCAGAAATTCAAGATAAAGTTAATCTATGTTTTGTTTTTTCCTAAAAGACCATGAATTAAATCACTACTAAAGATTATTTTAAAATTTCAAATATTAACCTTTTTTCTTCACTTTTTAAAAATCTCACTCCTCCCACACCAAGTAATGAATTTGTTACTTTGATTCTGCTGATAAGTCTAAAGTTAAATGATCATTTTAGGATGGTAGAACAATGATAATAGTATCTATTATGTTTTCTCGAGGAAGATTTATTTATCCATTTATATAAATAATAATAGAATGGTTAATGCTACCACATGACTTTATATTCAGATGATCTATCTTTTAGAGAAGTTCTTCTTTCCTTATTTCTCTTTAGCTTATTGTAATCCTGATTAATAAACTTTTAATTCTGCAGAGAAGTTCTGAGAAGTAACTGGAATTAGTAGGTACTGTGCAGTGGCTGAAGGGAGGGGTACATGGATGCTTGACTCTGTATTTTTACTGGAGATAGAGAAGAGACCAAAAACAACTGTTTCTATTTTTGTGCATTGAATTTGGATATAAGGGTGTGAAGAATAGTTTACAGGCTGATGTGTTATTATTAAATGCTATCCATGAATTTCTGTTAGCAATTTGGAAAGGTGTTTCCATAGAAAAACATACTAGTGACTTTGGATATAGGAAGTCATACCTGAGACTATGGTAGATATTTATAATTACAGCTTTTCTTTTAAATACACAACCCTATGATAAAACATTAAAGCTATGAAAGCTCATTATAAAACATTGTTCTAGAAATTATATTCTCCTGGTGAGAATCTTATGAGAAAAATGGTAACCCATTTGACCCTCAACTAAAAACTAATCTTTGGTAAGATGTGAAAAAAGGAAACCACAGTTTATAAAGGAAATGTTTTATTTTATTTTTTAACGCCTACAGCACCTGGTATTCCTAGGTGGCCTCCCATTCATGTACTAACCAGGCCCGACCCTGCTTAGCTTCCGACCCTGCTTAGCTTCCAAGATCAGACAGGATCGGGCTTAAATTTTAAAATATTTCTGTAATTTTACATTTCTAGCATCCTTTTAGAGTTTTGCGGAGTTCCAATTATCTCTTCCTTCTAGCCATCCTTTTCAAAAACATATGAAGAAACTAAACAAGAGTATGTTTTTTCAATGTAAAATTGAGTTAGCATACTAATAATTTTTTGCCAAATTATGTTGGTCATTTTCAAAAACCAGATTAGCTACGCTGCCAAAAAATAGCTTTGGTTGTGTGATTACAAGAAATGTCAACAGTGTGATACTGTTTATCAAGGCATCTTAATAAAATGACATGTAAACCTAAGTATATAATGAAAAGATATTTTCACAGATATAGCACTGACCAAATGCACAGATTTCAAGTTTAAACATTTAATTCTGTGTCACAGTAACCAAGTTTGACTTGTTTGTTTCTTATGTTTCTTTTAATAGAATTTAATTCCTTTTCGACCTTCAATTCAGTTCCAAGGGCTCCAAGGGGTGAGTACTCTTATTGATTTAGCAAGAAATCTATTTTTCTTATACACTATTATGTTTAACTTAAAATTTGTTTTCACTTGTACCTCCTAATATAATGTCACTTATTTTGTGACTTTTGTGACTAAATGTAAATTCCTGACAACTTTAAGACCCTTGAATTACTTTCTTTTCTTGATTTATTTTAAAAAATAATTAGATATGCTTATTATTGAAAGTAGGTTTTCCCAAATCATGGGTAATTGCATCTTTTAACCTTTTTATTGAAATATAACATACATCAAAGTATTATGAGAGTGTGTTTTATTTCCCACAATTAAGTAATAAGGAATTATTCATTTGGGGGAAGTTATGTGATTGTTGTTTCTATTAAATATTTGCTGTCAGGGAGGAGAGGGGCAAGACCTAGGAGAGTAGAGTAAGGTTTGAGGGGCTTTCCCCTCACTAGAAGCTGTCACTTTGTTTGGGGGCTGCTTCTTCCCTTAATTCTCTCTGTCTTTCCCCCAGCTGGGACGTGGAGGCCCGGACAATGCAAATGAAGGACATTTTTCTTAGGGGGCACTAGGTTAGACTGAATAAGGAGGAACTAACAAGTGCAAGTTTTCAACTCTTGATTCAGACACATACAGCTTTTAGCAGTCTTAAGAAGAATATGGTTTCCTCTGGCATATCAAGCTGACCTCAAGCCCTAGGCACCATTGCAAAGCAGGCAGTTTATTTTTCAGACCTTGGATATTCTTTTCTGAATTATCCTACCTGGTTCCCCCAAGCTTTCCTGTCTCATGTGTCCAAGCTTCTCCAGTTTATCTTTGCAAGCTCCATTCTCTCTTCCTACTCCATCCTTGGTTGATAAAAGTGACTTAAATATAAATGATAGGTTTAAATTTTAATGGGTAATTGAATTTTAACAGATTGAATTTTAACCCATTTATTTGGGTTAAGTTATTTTTTTTTAATGGTTATTTGATTTGGTAGAAAAGAAGGTGGAGGGGTGAGTGAGGAGGAGGCTGCTGACTGAGAGCTATGGGATACTTGCCTTACCTTGCTTACACTGAGTTTTGTCTCCTTGACCTCCTCCCCCCGCCCCCCACCCACCCTTACCACACTCTTCTTTTTATTATTCTAACTGGGAACAAAATATATGGACTCAGCATTGTTTCAGAGCCTGCAGCTGCATTCCATCCACCCCTCCCCCCTTTTCTTTGCCAAGCTCTCACCAGCCCTTTGGGACTTAGTAAAAACAAAGAGTCATTACAGGGGAGAGAGTAGGTTGGCACAGCCCACAGGGAATATGCAGAGCCACAAATGTGAGGGGCTTCTGTACAGTGCT